GAAAGCATTAAAATAAGGCTGACATTTATCGTCTCCCTCACAAGATCTGCAGCTACTTACAGATGAACACTGGAAAATTGTTTGTGAAATAAGAAATAATCTTGATGTCATACTTGATTCAAAGTTAGATCAATAACCCCTGTGTTTATTGGTCTATATGTTACTGCTAAAGCCTAAGACCATAATTACTAAAATGAACATCCTGGTTATGAAAACTTTTCAAAAACTAGATTAACAGTAAAAGCTGATCCCGTGGATTTTTTACTGAGCTCATAAATCAACTGAGAAGTCGGCTCATTTCTCCATAAGACTGAATGGTATCGGCCCCCTGCTGGCCGTTACACAGAATGCAGGTTTAAGGCTTTATACATTAAATACACTGTCAGTGGTTTTTGAGCGTGAATTCGCCATCTTCTCTTCCTGTTTCTCTTATTCGGTGGTGTTGAATTGCAAAGTTGTGTGCGGAGGGATTGTTTTCACAATGTTCGTATGAGTGCGGAAGTTTTTTTAAATGCAAAGAAAAAAACGTTGTTGTTGTTGTGTAAACAGGGTCTTCAGTTATGTTTAAAATCTGGTTATATTCACTTAATTTTTGTGAAGTTGTTCCGACCGAACCCTTTTGGTGAACACAGAATATGATTTAAAGAGCAAGTCCACCACTAGGGGGCGTTGCACCTCCACAGGACAAATACTGAGGGTTACCTGTCTGCTGTTAGACCTGAATGTACAGGATACACGGAGAAACATATGAATATCACAATAAAGCTTTCTATCTTGATGACTGAGAGGACTTGTACCCTTCTCTTCTTCTCCTACACAATTCTTCTAACCTCCCCCCCATCCCCTGTTTAACCAGATAAATGAGCCGGTCATCCCTCCTCCACCCCTCTCAGTGGAGTGTTAGATGGTACGACCCACTGCCAGACTCAGCAGTCACCTCTCTCTCTCTCTCTCAGCGAGCATCAGTCAGACATTCACTCTCTGAGTCGTCAGGTTTTATCTCTCTCCTCCTCTTCCTCCTCCTCCTCTTCTCTTGTTATGACCCATTTCAGGAGCGACTGCCACCAAGACAGACGTGAGTACCACACACACACACACACACACACAGTAAGATGAGTGTATTTGACAGGATATTGTGAATGGTGATGTTACAGTGTGACTGATCCCAAAAAGGTAAAGTGCAGTTTAAAGATGCTCTGAGTTCACTTCAGATCTTGTGCTGTCTTTTGGGAGTTGTACACCTGGACGGCTGGAGGTGGTCGTCCACTAATTGCAGGGGTCGGTGGTTCGATCCCCACCTCCTCCTGTTCACATGTTCCTCAAGCGAGATACTGAAGCCCACTTTCTCCAGCTGATAGGAGCTCGCTGCCACTTTGCGTATAAAAGCACTAAATGATGAAAAACCTTGAGAGTTGAAGTCATTTTCTCTGGTTCTTCAGAGGGCTAGAATTAAAGCATGAAAGGATAATTCCGGTTTATTGTAAGTAGGATCTTGTAGTTTTGACCATAATTATTATCACTAATAATAACGTTGTGTTCATTAAGTGTACGGCTGAGATATCTGAACACAGTAGTCAAGTTACCATCACAATTTAGAGCCAATTTAAACAGAATTTCAGGAAAATCTTTTTAAAAAATCCACTTCTTTAGTGAATATTGATCAGTTGGTTGATGGAGATAATCAGTTGGTAACTCTCCAGGCGGTGCCATTTAACCATTGTAAGAGAGAAAGACACAAATTGTTAAAAGAGCTCCAGTATAGGCACATTTGGGAATAATGGTGGCAATTTTCTAAACAGAATTTAGAGCCAATTTAAACTGAACTTCAAGAAAATCTTCACAAAAAAAAAAGAAAAAGCAAATGAATGTGATTTCCATCCCCAATTATTTCACTATATTTGTGAATATTAGTCAGCTGGTTGATGGAGATAATCAGTCGGTAATTCTCCAGTCGGTGCCAATAAACCGAGATAATATTGTTAAAGGAGCTCCAGTCAAAGTCAAAAACGACTGAAAACGGTGGCAATTTTGAGCAGTCTGCCTAAAGTTTGTGTCGGGTTTGGCTCCTCCCACTGTGATCACTGGGAGGCGTTAGTCGAGGCAGAGCAGTCGGAGGACGTCAGAGGGAAAACCAGACAATATTCTCTCCATAAAATATGATCCAGTTTCACCCAAATCACTGATAAAGTTGTGTGTTTGTACAGAAGATTGATGGGTGCATGTCAGGATATTATTGGTTGAAATCAGTTAGTTCATGCTGACGTAAGCACTCGTAACATTTTGGATTTTAATATACAAATACAAAGAAATTGAGTTTTTGTAAATTTTTTGGCATAAATTTTTAAATAGGAGAACAATATAACTTAAATATTAAAATTACATTTTTCATTTCACCTGAACTTTAAAGAGTAACCACCGTCACTGGGTTAGGGTTAGGGTTCATCTAGCATATACACACTAATGTTGGTATAAAAAGGGTATTTCACTAAGCAGCAAGATTTCTTTTTGATTTTGAATGTTTGAGCTGTTGTTCCAGATTCTAAAACGTCACAATGCATTCGATGAAATTAACTGCATCATTATCTCCATCTAATGACAGTTTGTTCGTTTCAAGTCAACTTAAAATTTCTAGTCATCGAAATCAAATTAGCATTCTTCCCAGCAGGGATTGTATTTGTGTGATGGAGATTTACTGAGTCTCTTTAAGGCGTTTATCTCAGATTACTCTCGGGTCTAACCTTGATAAAGAATCCACTACAGCCTCCGCACTCCACTTGTGAGTCAAGTTCAAGGTGCTGTTTATTCATCCATAAAATCATTGTAAATGTCAGCGCTCACAATCCCAACATGGTCACGGATGAGAAGAAACAAAAGTGTTACAGTTTCTACAACTGCTCTGAATGTGGCCGCTAACATTTCAGCAGCGGCTGTGATCATCCGGGTGTGAAGAAATGACCCTGAAACTCTAATATATTATTCTGCTGCTGTAAGAATGAGCGGACCTGGAAAGGAAACCTGACAAGGAACTGGTTTGAGCTGACTGAACAGTGGCTGTTAATGTAATGTAGTTTTTTTTGGTTTTTGTACTTCCAATGTTAAGTTTGGGTGGTCGCTCACTTACAGACACTCAATCAATCCTAAATGCAACAGAAGTTACAGCAGCAAGCACTTTGCATCAATGATGGCGATGCAGTACACAAAAGGAGCAATAAAGGCATCAGAAATCAGCTCATAGACGTATTATTTCCACCAGTTTCAGGATACATGATGTGAAGTTTTTCTTGGACTCAGGTAGCACAGTTTTTGTACAGGTATACAAACATCTCTATTGCACACGCAGGGATCCGCCGTCACGTTAGCAACAATAAATATGCAACGTATGGTTAGACTTTCAAAGTAAAAGCCTGCTAAGATACATTTTAAAGTAATATTTTGGCACAAAAATTAGGAAAAGACTGTAGTTCAGGTTACATGTAACGTACATAACATAATGTAAAATAGGATGTAACGTAATGTAACGTAAACTATGTAACAACATACGTAACGTAAAGTACATAACAAAGTACACAACGTGACACAACATGAAGTACGTAACATAATAAAAACTACTTCATTAGGTTCAGG